TCAAGAGTATGGGCCTGGATATAAATTAGCTGACTCTGACACATATCTGCTGTGTGACCTTGAGCAAGTTACTAAACCTCTCTGAGGAAAAACAAGACCTGTCTTATAGGGTGTCTAGGAGAATCAAGTAGGAGGATGAATGCAAAGGGCTGGGTATAGCCCTTGGCACCACGCTAAGTCCTCATTAAGCGACAGCCAGTAGTCTGCAAAGGGAGCTTTCATTCTTTAGTCTCTGGGAAAATTCTTCCACTCTGACATTTCTGCTAAAAATATATTTCATGCTCATCACGTAGCCAAGACGCTCCTCTGGCTCTTCTCTCGCCCTCATTCAGTCTGGATGGCTGGTTAGATGATTGCACAGTGAGGAAGAACAGAGTCTACACCGAACAAGCCGACCTGTTCCCACTGTCTGAACCGTGCGCACTGGGCCTGCCCGGTCTGGTCCCGGGGGTGTGGGCACGGCCCACGGGCAAACCCGGGCGGCCTGGCACTGTTTGCTGACAGGCCCGGGGGCAGCAGATGAGGAGTGAGAGCTCCTATTTGCACAGGCCGTCTCCATGGCAACAGGAAAGTCAACAGGCACGACATTCCTTAAGCTGGTGGAAAAGCCTCTGCCTCCGCCCTGCGCTTCCAGGTAAGGGACGCCTTCCCACACAGCGTAAGCCGATCCTCAAAGGCCAAACCTCTAGTAGAAAAGCCAAAAAGAAAACCTGGGGCCAAAATACACAAATATTTTGGACAGGCATGCAGCTTATTCCCCAGATAGTTTTAATTTTTTTTTTTTTTTCTGAAAAGCATAGGTAATTTGACCAAGGTCTGTGTGTTTTTTACTGGTGGAAACTAAGCCAAAGGTCACCATTCCCAGCTGGCGATGGGGACATGAGCTGCTTGGCGACAGAGGGCCGTTATTGTCATGCCCTGTTCATCACAGAGCAGACTCAGGGGCGGCCTTCCACTGCAAGACAGTAAACAACTATGCGGTGAAATCTGCAGGAGGGAGAACTAAGCTCCCAATTAAAAGCACCCGCCCCAGTGACACTGACATGGGCCTAAAGTTCCCATTTTGTTCTCTCCTTCATGTAAATCACTGGTGGCCTCCATCCAAAGAGTCAGTGTTTTGGGGAAGCTAATGCAGTGCACTGTTAGGGGCGGTTACACCTTCCCTTGAATTAGTTTCTCAGAAAGTGCCTTGAAGCAGGACCTGGAAGGACTGAGCCACAGGACAGAGAAGTTTGTTGGGGAAAAGAATGGGCAGAGGGTGCCGGGTGTGGCTCAGAGGGCAGGCCTGAGCAGGCACCCTGGCGGGAGCCAGAGAACATAAAGATGCCAGGTGCCTGGGAAAAGTCAGAGGGAGGAAGCTGGAAAGGGGAGGGGAAGAGTGAAAAAGTAACAAAGACCAGCTTCACATTCGGCCCAGAATTTACCTTTTTCTGTTATGCCTAAAATTTCCCCTGTCATCGTTAACACCACAGTAGCCACCTGCTCGCTTGTTTTTTCCACTCAGCAGACATCGGAGCACCACGTGCAGCGTGTCGCAGCGAGATGCATGAAGCCCAGCCTCTAGAATGAGCCTCTCAGAACGGGACTCATTGCATTTTCTTTGTTCAGAATTATGAATAATGTCATAGATTCAGAAAAATATGAAATATCCAGGTTTAGATAGACTGCATGTCAGCTCTATCTCTAGAAATGGACATAGGCCGGGCACGGTGGCTCACGCCTGTAATCCTAGCACTCTGGGAGGCCGAGGCGGGCGGATCGTCTGAGCTAAGGAGTTCGAGACCAGCCTGAGCAAGAGTGAGACCCCGTCTCTACTAAAAATAGAAAGAAGTTAATTGGACAACTAAAAATACAGAAAAAAAATTAAGAATATAGAAAATATAGAATAAAAATATATATTTGTATATCTAATATTTCTATATCTAAAAATATAGAAAAAAAAATGAGCCAGGCATGGTGGCGCATGCCTATAGTCCCAGCTACTCAGGAGGCTGAGGCAGGAGGATCGCTTGAGCCCAGGAGTTTGAGGTTGCTGTGAGCTAGCACTCTAGCCCGGGTAACAGAGTCTCAACTCTGTCTCAAAAAAAAAAAAAAAAAAAAGCAAAGAAATACACACAGACACCTAAATGAGTGCCAGGGTGAGCCTTAGGGTGGGGGTTTGTTCCCTCCCTGTCATTGCTGTCATCCGAGGGTCCTACTGTGTTTTCAATAGGTGTAAAATAAATATATAAGGGTCTCACATATTGTTTTTCCTGCTTCACAACTGGTTCCTACCTCTAGTCCACACAGAAAGTCTGAGTGATCCTTTTTAAATATGTCAGATCATACTCAAAACTTTAATGGGTTTCCATTCCACTGGGAAGGAAACCGAAAGCCCCTGCCATGGCCCACGCACCCATGTGTGTTGTAGTTTCACTGACCTCAATTCCTTCCCCCACCACTCCCCTCATTTTGTCCAATCTGGTTGGCCTCCTCACATTTCTCCAATACCCCAAGTGCACTCCTGCCTCAGGGCCTTTGCACTTGCTATTCGCTCTGCTTGGGATATTCTTGTCTCCCCCTAAGAGCTGCATGATTCATTCCTTTACTTGTTTTAGGTCTCTGTTCAATGGTGGCCATATCACAACCTCATATAAAACTGTATCTCCCCTACCCCCACCCTTGACCTCTCTTTACTCGTTCACTCCACTTTATTTTTCTTCATAGATATATCAGAGTTTCCTCCTTAGCTCATAGCATTTCATAGTACCTGGCTCAATATATATATATATATATATATATATATATATATATATTTCTTCATGCATTTGTTTATTTTCTGACTTTCCCTAAGTATGCAACCTTCAGGAAAGCAAGGACTTTGAAACCCTGATGACGGCACTGTGGCCAGCCCACCAGGCTCTATCACCATGCTAAGAGAGATGAGGCACAAAGTGACAAAGGCCTGAACCAGGCTGGTGGCTGTGGGCATGGGGAAGAAACACATGGCACAGACTGTGGACAGGAAGAAAACCTAAGATTTGGGGACAGATTGTGTGAGATGCAAAAGGGAGAGGATGCAGAGAGGTCTGAGCTTTTCAGCCCAGTGATCTGGAACTGTCCTGTCCAATATGGTGGACACCAGCCACATGAGGCTACAGAGCACTTGAAATGTGGTGAGTCTGAATTGAGATGTGCTGTAAGTGTGAAATACACGCCAGATTCCAAAGACTCAGTAAGAAAAAGAAGACATGTTCAGTATCTCAATGGTTTTTAAAATACCAATTGCATGTTAAAATGATAACATTTTGGATATACTGAATTAAATATATTATTAAAATTGATTTCTCCTGTTTCTTTTTATTTTGTTAATGTGGCTATTAGAAAATTTTAAATTTCATGTGAACCCTGCACTACATTTCTATTGGAAAGAGCTAGCCTAGAATATAAATAGCAGCAGCATTTGCAGAAAGAGGAAAGAAAAGAAGAGGAGGGACTATTATTAGTAACACACAGAGGCCAGCATGAGGCTCTGCCCTCCACTTCCCCAGAGCTTTGAAATATGGGAAATAAAACTGGCTTCTGGGATTTGGTGTTTGTGGATGAATAATCATAATGGTTTGAAGCAGAACCTTAAAAAGCTAGAATAATGTTTGGTCCAAGAGAGTAGGACCAGAACCTGCCAGAATGTATTTAGATAGTTGAAGAAAAAAAATGCATCAGTCACAAGGGGCATTGGTCAGCCATGGAGCATGGACAAGGGACCCCATCACAGGCGAGCATGGCAGTGCCCATCCAAGCACCTTCTGTCCAGGCTCTCAGTCTGACACCATTAAGCAAAGACTCCAATGAGTGGAGTGACCATCTAATTTACTGTCCAAACCAAGCCACTGGTGACAACAAAGAGGCACAATATGAATCACTGTGCTGGGACAATAAACCAGGACTGTCCCAAGAAATCAGGGCATGTGGTCACCCGACCTCAACTAATTCATCCCAATTTATTGCTCTGATTGAGGCATTCTGATCAGGCCAAATGTGTCTGAGCAAAGACATACATTTTCCAATGTACTAACATTACTAAAAACTGAGATGCTGCTTATAATTGATGTGGGCAGTAAATATCAGGCTTCTTTTTTTGCCCCAAACCTGTTATTAATTTAATAGTACATGTTATGAACAATGACATCTTACAATCAAGGATACAGAGTATTTGGCTTTCCATGTGGTAGAAGGAAAATTCATGGATGAGAGGGTAGGAATGCCCTCCCACCAGGCAATTGATTTGCATTGGAAAATAACAAGTAGGTATTCTGGTTTTAAGCATTAGTCTCTTGTGAACTTGGTTAGTTTGAATAGGTAACCTAAGACTGGGGCTGAGTCTACAAGGCCAAAGTCCAATTCCAAGACTGGGGTGAATTTAGTTAGGTCATTCTGTCCCATGAGGACCTGTTTGGGAAGCCTCCCAACCTTACCCAGAGGACAACCCTCAGTGTCACTATGGGCACCACCATGACCCTTACCCATTGAAACTGAAAGAGGCAGTAAGACAGGGAGTCTGTTGTTGGTGTGTTAGGATTAAAAGGTGAATGAGACATTAAAATAGAAGTGGGGCTAGAAGTAGAACTTGAATGAGATGTGTATAGGCCACAAATAAATAGGAAGAAGAAATGATTTTGGTTGTGTCCATTGTAGCTACAGTTCAGATAAACAACCAGAAGTAGCAACAAAGAAGTCATAGGAGCATAAAAGGTTTCACCATAAGTGCCAGACTTGATGGACTAGTGGTGGCTCAGTGTGTGCAGCCTCTTTGGATGAGTTGGGAAAGTTTGGAAGAGAATCCTTGGGAAAAAAGCATGTGACTGATGAACCACATCTGACGTTGGCTCAGAAGGGGGCAGAGGCATGCAATTAAAGCACGATCATATTGGAAGTATTATAATATTATTAAAGATGTGTTTCTTCAACAAAATAAACAATGGTGATATGTATAAGGAGAAAAACAGTTGAAAGCAACTTACTTATTTTGCCCAATTGTCTCAAAATCTTTCACAACAATCCCAAGGGAAGATGAAAAGTCCAGTGGTATACCCCTCAAGTCAAACTCCAGTATCTGTTCACATAAACATTACATAAACAAAAAGGTTGTTAAAAGGAACAGAGAATATAATAAGATGCACCAATACTGAATGTTGGGTCGTTATGTTTACCAGTGACAATCTTTTGAAGTTTATAGTTAAACACAAATGATTAAATTCTAAACCTGGAGGCAGGTTGGGCGTGATGGCTCATGTCTGTAATCCTAACACTCTGGAAGGCTGAGGCAGGAGGATCGCCTGAGGTCACTCTTGCTCAAGACTAGCCTGAGCAAGAGTGAGACCCTGTCTCTACCAAAAAAAGAAAAATTATCCAGGTGTGGTGGTGTGCACCTGTAGTCCCAGCTACTTGGGAGGCTGAGGCAGGAGGATTGCTTGAGCCCAGGAGTTTAAGGTTGCCGTGAGCTAGGCTGATGCCATGGCACTCTAGCCCAGGGAACAGAGTGAGATTCTGTCTCAAAAATAAATAAATAAACAAACAAACCTGGAGGCAGCAGAGTGTGTGAGAGGAACAAAGCAGACTTAGACGCAGAGGACCTGTAAGCAACTCCAGGTTTCCTGTTTCCTAGGTTCTGTGGCTTTAGCCAGGTCCCCAAACCCTTGCCCTATAACCAGAGAATTGGACTTAATGCCAATCACAATTGCTGCAAGAATGAAATGAAATGCATATGTGAAAATGCTTTCTTCAATGGTTTTAAGTTATTTGCTCTTCTTAGTCATATTACCATCAAACAAGAGGAATAATCTAAGAAAACATTTTCTAAAATGCCTCAGTTCCATCATGGTCAGTCAGTGCTGCCATCTACTTTCTGAGTTCCTCATTTTAATGCAACTAATTGCTTTATTATGACAAATAGATATTAAAAAAAATCAACATAGCACCACTAATGCGTTTGATTGATTAGGTAATAAGTGAATTAAATAAATTAAATGACGATTTGATCCTCCTTGTAGTGGGCTTGGAATGGAAGGAAAACTTGTCCTAGAGCTCATACAACACACCCACCAAACCCAGTGGGTTTGGGGTTGACATTTTATTTGGGGTTGGTTTTAGTTATAAAACTGCAATTGGGAAGTTGATAAATATATTTGCAATATGAAAAAAAACAACACCATATTGAAAACAATTAAATAGGATGGATGCTTCCCTGTGGAGAACATGCCAACTCACATGACTGTCATCAGTCACATGGCTTGAGCTCAAATATAAAGAGAGATGTTAGGATGATTCAAAATCTGAAGCAGTAAACACATACACATAAATGTTTTTGTTTTTTGGTTTTCAGTTTTTGGGGTTTGTTTGTTTGTTTGAGACATGGTCTTGCTCTGTCACCTGGGCTCGAGTGCAGTGGCCTCATCATAGCCCACTGCAACCTCAAACTCCTAGGCTCAAATGATCCTCCTGCCTCAACCTCCTGAGTAGCTGGGACTACAGGCACACACCACCATGCCTGGCTAATTGTTCTGTTTTTTGTAGAGAAAGGGTCTTGCTCTTGCTCAAGGTGGTCTCAAACTCCTAGGCTCAGTTGATCCTCCCACCTTGGCCTCCCAAAGTGCTGGGATTACAGGCGTGAGCCACCATGCTTGACCAAATGTATTTTTTACTTGCTTTATACTCGAAGCTCTGTGCCAGGTGCTAGGAATCCACAGTGACAGGGTATGACTCTTGCTATCATGGAGCTTGTAGTGTAGCTGGCTGTCTTCTGGGTTCTAGGGAAACTACAGAGAAGCAGAATTCTCTCTCAGCCTGCCTGAGACCAGTGAGGCTTTTAGAAAGGCATTAAGAACCTTTTTGTCTTCACCTCATTCAAAGATAAGGTCTAGTCTCTACTATCTACAGATAAATATTTTATCTTCGTAGAAATAAATCCCAACTAGATTCCTCTCTCTTTAGGAGAGGAAGGGATTTGCACTGGGAGGAGGAGGAGCCTTCATGGCCTAGTGACTTGGTGAAAATAACAAAGACATTTATTACTGCTCTTGGCCAGGGAGGTTTAACCTGGCTTTTGAAAAACATAATGGGGCTGACCAGCAACTTTTAAAAAATGGTCAGGGTTCCATGCAAGATTGAGTAGTTATTAAAAAAAAAAAATTAGAGTAGGAAAACCCTACTCAGTGGGAAGAATTAAAATTTTCACATATCTATGAAAATATTAAATACCAAAACACTTATAAAACAGATATAAAATCAAGAGTGAGGGGAGGTGAAAAAGCTATATTATATCCCTTCAATAGGATATTATAGTCATTGAAACTACTTTTTTTTTTTTTTTTTGAGACAGAGTCTCGCTTTGTTGCCCAGGCTAGAGTGAGTGCCGTGGCGTCAGCCTAGTTCACAGCAACCTCAAACTCCTGGGCTCAAGGGATCCTCCTGCCTCAGCCTCCCGAGTAGCTGGGACTACAGGCATGCGCCACCATGCCCGGCTAGTTTTTTCTATATATATTAGTTGGCCAATTAATTTCTTTCTATTTATAGTAGAGACAGGGTCTTTCTCTTGCTCAGGCTGGTCTCGAACTCCTGACCTCGAGCAATCCGCCCGCCTCGGCCTCCCAGAGTGCTAGGATTACAGGCGTGAGCCACCGCACCCGGCCATGAAACTACTTTTGGATTGAATGATATGGGCATATGCTCTGGATATAATAGTAACAAAAAGTAGGAGAGGAAAGTGTATTTGCTATATGATGCTAGTTTGTATTTCAGATTCATATTTTATTAAAATATTCATTTAATAATATTTATTGATACATTACAGATGTTAATAGTAGTTGCTTCTAGAGCATGGGACCAAAGTTGATTTTTTTCAAGAATTTCTATGTTAAATAGGCCGGGCGCGGTGGCTCACGCCTGTAATCCTAGCACTCTGGGAGGCCGAGGCGGGCGGATTGCTCAAGGTCAGGAGTTCAAAACCAGCCTGAGCGAGACCCCGTCTCTATCATAAAAATAGAAAGAAATTAATTGGCCAACTAATATATATATATATATATATAAATCAGCCAGGCATGGTGGCTTGTGCCTGTAGTCCCAGCTACTCGGGAGGCTGAGGCAGGAGGATCGCTTGAGCCCAGGAGTTTGAGGTTGCTGTGAGCTAGGCTGACGCCACGGCACTCACTCTAGCCTAGGCAAGAAAGCGAGACTCTGTCTCAAAAAAAAAAAAAAAAAAAAAAAAAAAAAGAATTTCTATGTTAAATATACTGAACATTTTATCAAAATATAAATAGAAAATGTCATTATTCTGCTAGATGCACAGAGTCTCATGTGATACTCTCTTGATTAGTCACAGGCAGATATGTTTTTAATTATGGTGCTTTCCTTCTGAGACTCTGGAGATGACCTAATCCCACCCCTTGCTCTACAGATGTGCAGCAGGAATGGACCAAGGTCACACAGCAAGGTCACGGCTGTGCCAGGCCAGAACTCAGTCTAGGCTTCCCTTGCTACACAAGAGATGGTCATTAGTGTGTTGTATCTTCTCAAACTTCTGTATCTTCTTGGTGGACATAAAAGGAAAGACGGATGAGCTGGGGTGAAATGTAGACCTTCTCCTTCCAAATAGAAGAGTTAACCTCGGACCCAAAGATTAGGCAATCAGATATAGCTTATCCATTAAAACAAAGTAGAAAAAAAATGAAGTCACCTCATTCCAGACAGGGTTGAGTTCATTATCAACTTTCTTTGTTTTCTTTTTCTCATCTGCAAATAAAAAATAAGAGCTATCAATCAATCAGAAATAAGTAAAGAGAATGTACCATTCATTTATTCATTCAAAGAATGCATTACCTGCGGGCCCTCTATGTGCCCACATTTCCCCATTTATCTGTCTAGGACGGGGAATCAAAGTTTTCCAGACTCAGTGGCATTGTGGGGCCTACAATGATTTCCCATCCCCAGGTCTATAAAGACTTAAGGGATCAGAGATTCAAAATCATGGGAATGCTGTGATGTTCTGTGCCTCTCGCACAAAGATTTCCCAAGACCTCTGCACCTCCAGCTTGTAGCAGAAAGACACCAACGAAGCTGAGCTTCGAGATGCTGGTATCGCCGTTTCATGGACGAGGATACGGAAGCTCAAAGAAGCCAAAAATGTGTCTGAGCTCACACCTGGCAGTGCTGCCCTGATGTCAACCTGACATTTCAGCTCTGAAGCCCACGCTGCCTGTGGGGGTGGTAGGACCCCTGATAGCGCTTAAAGATGAACCTGGACTGCCTCCCACGGGCCTCGGTACAAGGTGACTAGGAGATGAACACTTCCCAGGACCCGCAGAGAATTTGGGGTTTCCTTTACTTCAGCCCACCTTTGCTGAAGACACGAGGTCTTCTTGGCTGTGTCTGAGCCTGGACAGTACCCCTACCTGGATAAGCACGTGAGTAAGCCCAGTTAGTGCTTAAAGCTTCCTTGGGGCAAAGTCCAAAGAGCAGAGAGTTCTCGTGGATTCCCAAGTCCCCAGATACCCAAACAAAGGCTAATCTCTGAGTGTAAAATGATTTGTAAGCATTATCTCTTCTAATCGCCTTACAAACCCTGGGAGGTATAAATGGCTATTTCCATCCACCTTTCGTAGCTAAGGAAACTGAGAAGCTAAGTAACATTTTCAAAGGCACCCAGTTAGTAAGTGGCAGGGCTGGGACTTGAACCCAGGCAGTCTCACACCAGTGGCCACGCTTTGAACTACTCCTCGGCCATTGCTTCCTCTCTCTGGCTGTGGAATGTAGGAGGTAGTGGATTTTGTTCGGCTGGATGTCACACTGCTTCAGCTCCCAGCACACAGCTGGCTGCGGGACTAGCCCCCTCATTCTTCCAAGACCTCAGCATAGCAAGGCCGTGAGTCATGCCCCTCGCTCGGCTAAGCATTAACTTTTCCACTTGAGTGGGCATCACACAGCCCGACTGACCTCCCTTTCTAGGCTTCAGTGTGACCTTACTCATCAGCTTGTGCCCGGACCTATGCTGCTTGGTTCTGACTGTGGTCTTCCTGCGTGGCCTACGGAAACACTCACTGGATCGGATCCTGATGTCTTCTAGAAGCTGCCCTGAAATTTCCCCTCCCACACTTCTGTATTGTCCCCACCCACCCCTCCCTTCATCTGACGTAAACTCTCAGTCTTCCTCTCTGGTTACAGTACAGAAAGTGCTCTTAGGAGAAAGAAGAGCCATGAAAAAATTTTTTAACTTAAATGCAAGTGGATAAAATGGCTCCTACGCATCACTGCAGCAGCTCCCTCTAAATCGTCACCTGCAGGTGCCCAGCTGTGCGTTGTCCTGCAGCGTCTCTCAGCATTGCGACAATCCTTCAAGGCAAGCTTTGTCCTCTCGGTTTTACAGACAATAAAACTGAAAGGAGCTACTTAACCTGCCTAAGAACACATAACTAATAAGGAAACAGAGCCAGATTTTGAACCTGCATCTCTCTGGCTCCAAAACCTGAGTCGCACCTTTGCTACCACCCCATAGTGTGTCACTGGAAGCTGTTGGAAATGCTGGATAAGGAAGATGCCTAAACATAGCATGTGTGATGGGCTTGGCATCTCGGGCAATGTCCACAGAGAAGTCCATGATCAGGTTCCAGGGTATCCTGAAACGCTCTACGATTATTTGCTCTAATATGCAAAATATTGTATCTGTGAATTTTCCTGGGGAAAGAGCTTATTGTTCTCATCAGTTTCTCCAATGAGTTAGCGACCTTGAAAAAGGAATCCCTGCATTCAACAAGCATGCAGTGGTGCCCCCCAGTCTCCCTCCCCACCACCACTACCCTTGCTGTGCATGAACAGGGCTTGGCTCGGGAGATTAGAGTCCTGAACAAGTTGATCTGGACTCTGAGACCATGGCAGACCTTCAAGACAGAAGAGGGGCAATTCCAAGAAGTCCCAGCAGGAAAGGGAAGCAAGAAGGCAGCAAATAATTTATAGAAACCGGGCACTGGGGCTTAGGGTAGGATCGCGATCACTGAAGGATAGTATTGAAGCAAAATCCCGTCTCCAGGTCCCCAAGACTCCAAGCAATGAGCCAAAGCAAGGACAGGGGCTCTGGGGAGGCTGCAGAAAAAGCCAGCACTTATTAACTTTGAAAGTCCCAAGCCTGGTTACTACTGTCCTAGGAAACAGCATGAGGAAGACACGCTGAGAGTCTCTCTTGATGCAGAGCCTGGTACTACTGACTCGCTCTGCCCTCAGGAGGGACAGGATTATTCCAGAGTCAGCAGTGGGGGAGTGTAAGAAGATTCACTGATTCATTCATTCATTCACAAACATTTACAAGCACCCATTATGTGCCAGTAATAGGAAACAGAAAAGTGCAAGACAATTCCTGGTCTTAAAAAGGCCCATAAATGTAGTTTGTGGGTTACTGAATAGAGGAAGCAAATAAATCTTCGTGCTTGTTCCCACCAAATAGCAAAACACGTCACCATGCTCTTGCCTGCTTCGTTCTCATCCTGGAGTTCTTTCTCCAGGAATATGAGGGAGAACAATGGAAATAATGACTGACTGGCCTGCTCAGGCCATGGGACACACAGCTCAGCTCACAGAAATGGTTCCCTAAGTGAGATCTTCCATAGACATTAAACAACTCCTTCATTCTTCCAACCTACAAATATTTGTGTAATAGTCTTTGCCAGGAATTGAGCTGGGCATTGCAGGAGATATACAAATACCCAAGACATGGTTCTTGCCCTTCGGTGATCTAGCAGGAAGGTCGATGTGGCCTTAGGTGAATGATACAGAAAGAAGGGCTTCAGGCCAGGTGTGTTGGCTCACACCTGTAATTTCAGCACTTCAGGAGGCCAAGGCATGAAGATCACTTGAGGCCAGGAGTTCAAGACCAGACTGGGCAACATAATAAGACCCTGTATCTCCAAAAAATTTTAAAAGTTGCCAGGTGTAGTGGCACGCGCCTATAGTCGCAGCTACTCGGGAGGCCAAAGCGGGAGGATCACTTGAGCCCAGGGGTTTGAGACCTCAGTGAGCTATGATTGTGCTACTGCACTCCAGCCTGGGCAACAGAACAAGACCCTGCCTAATTTTTAAAAAATTAAAAAGGAAAGAGAGAAGGGCTTCAGCTGCCATTAGAGAGGTACACGTGCAAATGCAAATTCAGAGGAAAGAAAGGTGACTTCTGGCTGTGTGCACCAGGTCAGACCTCACAGAGGAAGCAGAGGCTGAGCTGGGGACTAAAGGACAAGGAGAGACTGAAAATGCGGAGGTGGGAAAAGAAGCTCACTCCAGGTAGAGGCAACAACAGTAGGGCTGGGGGTGGGGATGGTCAGCCATGGAGCAGGGGAGAACCGGTCATGTCTGAGGCACCACATGGCCCAGTTGGCTGGAACGGGGTGTGGAAGGGGTTCCGGCAGTTGGGCTGTGTGGGAAGGTTATGGTCACACTGTGAAGACTTGACTACCAGGCTACGCTTCATTTGGCTGAGCCAAGCACTTAAGGGAGGGAGGAGAGTGTTAGAAAATGGACTTTATACCTTTAAAAAGTTCATAATCCAATGACAAACCAAGCTGCCCAACACTCTCCCGATACGTGTTCCTGAACACAGGATTCTGTTGTGTGTTGAGAACAAAGCAGATGCCAATCGACCGCAGACCAGGTGGAGCTACTCAAGTGGAACTTCCTGCAGCTCCTGGCATTTGAGCAGGCACTGAAGCCAATGGTGCCACGCTCTAGGGGACACTCGCAGCGGGCCAGGAGGTGCTGCTAAGCGCTTCTCACTCATCATTTCGTCAAATCCTCCTGGAAAGCCTATGAGGTAGGTGCTGTCTATCCTCAGTTTGCACATAAGCAAAGAACGGTTAGGCAACTCTCCCAAGATCACTGAGCTAGAAAGAAGCCTTCTAACCAGGTCTAGGCTAGCACCTAACCACTGCACTCTCCTATCTCCCTAGCAAACAAGGAAAACTTAAGTGGCTGCAGTTAGCTCCTCCTCTCCTGGAGAAACCCAGCTCAGTCTCTTCCAAGAAAGAGGCTCTGATTTTTATCAAAATGTGTGTATATTACATTTCATTGAAAACCGATTCTCTCACATAAACATGTCATGGAAAAAAAAAAAGATAAGTTCTTTTCTTATCTGCGGCCACAGAGTCACATTATTTATATTATTCAATTTTTTGATTCTACTGTTTTTAAAAAAAGGTCAAAGTTACAGGCACTCAGCAGGAAACTCCCTCTTGTTTCTCCGCATCACCTCCCCCTGCCTGGCTCTCACCTCTAATTTTCTTAAGATAACTGTTTCTTCCTATGGAAAGGAATTAAATACTTTCAACCCAGAACATAATAACCGCCTAATGCAGAACACTGTGTGGACCGTGGCTCGAGGCATTCTTCAGGACGTTTCCTGTTTTCTGATTAGCTATGCCTGCTCTGGCTGGGTTCTGTGAAGGTCACCGCTGCAGGAATGAACCTGAACGCCAGCCTCTGAACGAGGCTTCCCCAAAACTACGGCTCCTTGCCAAGCCACCCCGCCCTCTTTCACAGAACCATCTCCTCTGCTGTTCACCTGCCAGACAGCGCGTGGGACCCTTACGGAAAAGGCCTGAAAGACGCCAGGACCCCCCACACTGGCTTGCTACGTCTGTCAAGGGGTCAGGGGCAATGGCTCACTTTTTGTGTCGAGCTGTCTGGTGCCCAGCTGTTTGGCCAAACACCAGCCTAGATGCCGCTGTCAAGGCATTTCATAGACGTGATTAACATTTACGATCGTTTGACTTTAAGCAAATTGACCTCCATAATGTACACGGGCCCCATCCAAACAGTTGAAAGTCTCGTGAGAAAAAAAACGAGATTTCCCAGAAAAGAAATTCAGCCTCAAGACTGTAACCTAGCTTTCTGCCCAAGCTTGCCCAGGTTTTTCTGCCCAAGCCTGCTGGCCTGCCCTACAGATCTTGGACGTGAAATTTCCAGCCTACCAGCCTGTCCCACAAGTTTCAGACTTGCCAGCTCGGACAATCGCTTGGGGCGATTCCTTAAATCAATCGCTGTCTCCCTCTCGGTACACGTGCGCATGCGCACTCGTACCCCATTCTGTTTCTCTGGGGAACCCTGACTGATCCAGCCATCAACACCAGGTACCCGTGGAAGTAAGAATCACACCGACAACAGCAACACATTTTAAATGCTTCCAAACACACACCACCTCCAGGACCCTGAAGGGGAAAGGCCAGGTGGTGGCCCTGCTCTTCCCACTAGACTTTCCAATCAGCGAATTCTCTGTTACTTTGAGCTGCTATCTTAGGAAAACACAAGGCTCAGCCACTGAGCTCAGAGTCCCTCGTGTGTAAACTGATGAATTCAAATGAGAACATCTCTAAGTTTTCCTCCAGGTCCAGCAGCCTGACTCAGTGCTCCCAAATCCTGTGTCTTATGGAAATGGCCCCAGGAAAAGTAGGGGTGCTATTTACGAAGGCTCCCTAAGAAACTCAGTTCTAGATCAACAAGAGCTGTAGGTTTAGCCACCAGTCTACATTTGACCACTCATTCAAAAGTACTTCCTCTTTTCTGGGTCCCTGGGTCATGGCTCCTTTTCTCTGAGAAATCAGCAGTCACATACAAACTCATCCATGATTTTGCCTAAAATGTCCCCTGAAGCCCACCCATACCTGGCTAACATCTGTTAAGTGCTCTGAACTTGTCACTGCTCCCAATGTTTCTCATAGATTCTCCCACTTAATCATCACCAAAATCCTAAGAGGTAAATTCTATTATGATCATCCTCAGTTATAGAGAAGGAAACCAAGACACAGAGAGGTTAAGCAATTTATGAAAGGTCACACCGCTAGTAAGCTGAGATTCAAACCCTGGCAAATAGAGACACAGAGGAGTTTCCAAAGTTGAAAGATTAAGACCAGACAGTGACTCCTTGAAAGCTGAGACTTTTTAAGTAAAGAGACAGAGTCTCATTCTGTTGCCTAGGCTGGAGTGCAGTGGAACAATCATAGCTCACTGCAGCCTTGAACTCCAGGGTTCAAGCGATCCTCCTCCCCTCAGGCTGTTAAGCAACTAGGGTCATAGGTGCACACCACCACCACCACCATGCCCAGCTAATTTTAAAATTTTTTGTAGAGATGGGGTCTCGTTATGTTGCCCAGGTTGGTCTCAAACTCCAGGGGCTCAAGCGATTCTCAAGGGCTCAGTCTCCCAATGTGCTGGGATTACAGGCATGAGCCACCATGCTCGGTCTGGGATTGTAATTGTATTAATACTCCTATTCCCTCCAGGGTGCTTACTACATAGTAATTTCTCTAAGATTTGAGAGAATTGGACTTCATAAATTCATATAAGTATTATTATTGGTGTTGTTTTAATAATTAAATGAGCAAATGAATGCAAAGTGCTCAGCACAGGACTTGGCATACCGTAAGCACTAAACAAACAGGATTATTCTATCAGATTATTTCTTATTACAGCGCCAGGGCAGCCCCCCTCCCTTGCATACCCCAGGGGGTGCCCTGGCTGTGGGGGCCTGGAGGGCTGGGCCCGAGGAAGTGCCCAGTGAGGCTGGGGACAGCCCTGTGGGAATAAGCCTCCCACAGGGCTCTGAGGCCCGCCAGGGGCAGCCGTGGGCAGTGACTGCTCCTCAGGGGCAGGCAGCCTGGCAGCCACCAGGATTAAGGTAACTTCCCCAGGAACCAGGGGGCAGAGAAGGCTCTGGCAAGGCCAGCAGGACGGAGACACATGGCCCACCAGGAAGACCTCTCTAAAGGAGTCCCCTTGACTCTTTGCTCTCCAACCTTGCTGCTCTCGATCTCATAGGATGTTGCCAAACGGGTTCCAGGAGAAAGGCATTTTGACCAAGTGGCAACCGTGCTGCAAAGTGAGGCAGTGTGGCACATTTCTGCCACAGTCACTGATACCACTGGGAAACAGGAACGCCGGGCAAAAGGGCAGGCTGGGTGACTGCTACCCTCCCTGCACCCAGTGCCCCACTGACCTCTGGAGATGTCCTTTCGTGCACAAGCTCTTGAATCAAACCCAAATCCCCCAAGGGGACTGCAGTGATGTCCAGCCAATTTGAATGACTCAGACTCTACTTCCTAAAAGCTGATGCCAGTGAGCGGTCCTGTCCCAGCTCTGCCAACTGCCAGGGCTGCTGGTGGAGGCAGCGGGTGGGCCTGGCACCTGAATGGGCTGCCTTGGTGTTTATTTTGTGTGTGGGCATCCACTCTGTGCCGGGCACGTTAAGCGCATTCACATCCATTCCTTATGAGGGAGGTGTTAGTATCTCCATTTTACAGATGGGGAAACTGAGGTTCAGTGATGTTAACTGTCTCACCCAAGATCACAGAGCCAGCAAGCAGTAGGGCTGAACTTCAGCCTCAAGTCCGCCTTATTTCCAAACCTCTGCAATGAACTGCTACCATAGCCCAAGCGTGCCAGTGACCTGCCACTTTTTCAGCCCTTCCCAGCTCTGTGACCTTGGGCTACACACTTTCAGCTCTCTGTGTCTAGATTATTTCATTAATAAATATTGGTATCTAATGCCCAGGAATAATGGCTAAAAATATATAGGGCTTCACATCTGCCACACACTCTTCTAAGGGCTTTGTAGATGTTACCTATTATTATTATCCTTTTTTTGAGGTATAATACAGTTAAGTAGCTTGTCCAGGATCACCTGCTAGTAAGAAACAAAGCCAGAATTTGAATGTAGGTGTTCTGGCTCGTAAACCTCTTAACTTCTCTGGCTTCTGACTGGCGTGTTTCTGAGCCACAATTTGCTAGGGAGTGAATTTAGGCAGGAGCTCAGCAAATTCACAAGGAACCCAGTTAAGGAGGAGGGGCCTACGGGGCCTCCCAAGACCCTCGCATCCTGTCAAAAGGAGAAAGGATGAAAAAGCCCCCCTGGCAGACTTGTTGAGTTAGAATCAGAATCATTAGCTGCTTCCATTAGGCCAGCACTTCCAGTTCTCTGCCCTCCCAGTCTGCAGGAGATGGCATCCAGAAGAAATAAAATAGTCACATAAAAGAGCTTTGAAAACAAAAGCAAAGCACTGACTCAAAATCTTGATAATGAGAGCCTATCCTTCCCAGGCAAAAAAATTTCCAGCTGAATTTACCCTTAGCCACAGATCCTGGTGTGGCACAATTAATAATCTCTTTAAATGGGGTTTTTGCCATTGCCAGCAGTTTTAATCCACTTTCCTCAGCCTTCCTTCCCGTGATGTGAATGGCTCTGGGATCTTTAGCAAGCTGGACTGGTTGTTTGCTGCTGGTCTGAGGGAGAGTGGGGAGTCAGGGGGAGTCAGGGGTGTCTGCAGACTGTAGTTTGTCACCAGGGCCTGGGGCAGGAACAGTGGAATTAAAGCAAGAGAGAGGCCAAGCACAAAGAAAACCAACCATGCATGAAGCAACAGAAAAGCACTTGGGACCAGATTCTAGTCCTTCCCTTCATCTTCCTGACTACATGGCTTTGCTCTTGACATCTCTTGAGTCTCAACATGCTCATCTGCAAAATGGGTATAAACACCTGCCTTCAGCAGGGGCCTCTGAGTATTGTCATGGAGAACAAATGAGAGCAAGCCGTGGAAAGGGCTTTCTATACTGTAAGTGCCCTGGGATGAGGCCCCTTCTCCAGGGCGTGTCACACAAGGGAAGCCATCACAGTGTATCTAGTACCCTGGGATAAGCTGGAGGGCATTTGGAGTCCCAGCCCAGGCCTCTGAGGCTACAGGTGTCCAGGCCAAAGGCACCAGTGCTCCAGCACCTGGAATGGTCTGAATAGATGCCCCCAGGGCTGGCTTTGCCCAAGGGAGAACAATGAGTAGGAGATGGAGCCTGCATTGCCAGCCACATGGGATCTGAGCCTGAGTCCACGTGTATGACCACAGGATGGGCCAAATACAGAGGTGGCCAAGACCAGGCACTCAATAAGGAAGCACACAGGGGTTGGTTTGTGTCCCAGCTCCGCCTTCGACCTGCTGTGGGACCTTGAACAAGGTATTTAACCCACCCTACCTAGACTAGATTTTTTCACTTCTAAAATGAGAACCTCCTTTTTTATATTTATTTATTTATTTTGGTGAGAAAAATTAATGAATACATTAAAATTAAATGATACAGGTGAAGCACTTAGCACAGTGCTTATTAATAGGTGGTTAGCTCTCAGCATCAACATAATCTGCTAATGATCAGATCTCCTTTCCAGGGGTTTAAACTCCTTAATTCATCAAACTCCAGCTCTATTACAGCTTAGACTACAAACTGCATGCAGGCAGGGCCAGTCCTGGCTTGTTCTCCCCCCTGCGCCCAGTGCTCTGCCTGTCAGAGCGCTCTCCATCAGAGCTTGCTGAGCGGACCCATGTTCGGAAGGAAGCAGCGGCAGCAAAAGAGACGGGAGAGAGCCAGGGAGTGTCCCGGCAGGGAATTCAGACAGTGAGGAGGGGTAGAAAGCACATAGCTTTTATTTTATTATGAAAAGGAAGAGAGATAAGGAAAAGGATTTTTTTCCAGCTTATCAGCTGTGCCATTGGGATGAAAAAGACGATGACGGTAATGAACCAGCGAGCAGAGGTGCAATGCAGTGCAGCCTCGCCCTGCCAGTCCGGTATTCGATTTTTAATACTTTATATATCATAAGTTAGCATTTTAGTCTCCACTAACAAAATGGCTCAGACTTGATTATCAGGGGAACTGATTCACTGCTGAGCTATGTCACCTCTGAGCCTCTGAGTCACCGCAAGTCATAAAGGCTGTCATTACCCTGTGGCTAACTCACCCTGGAAGGGTTAGGTTTTGTTTTTCTTTCCTTTTCTTTTTTTTAAACTTCTTGTGTTCTTGGTACACTTTCTTCCTCTTTCAGACTGGTTGCAAACGGCCTCAACACACTAAACAGTTCAATCTGTTCCAGAGGCAGGGGCGTTCATTTGCCTTGCAGGCTGTGGGCACAGGCAGCGAGCTGTTTCTCCGCCCATGCTGCGCTCGGTGAATGCGCACGCCAATCTGGAATCCACTTAAGTCCTCGCCTGTCTCTGCCTCAGCTCCCTCTGGGGGGGGGGGGAAAGGAAGGTGATAATAACACCTGCTTCTTTTTTTTTTTTTTTTCTTTTCTTTTATAGACCTTGGAGAATGAACACCTGCTTCTTAAAAATGAACCGGGGATTAAATGAGCTAGGACACACAGGTGTGGGCTCAGTGTGGGAGTGTAGTCGATGGCGGTGGAAGAGCGAGTAGCTGCTATTACTCAGGCTGCGCACCCTCACCCAAAGCTCCAGAAGACCTAAGTAGTAACTCACGTGTACAGCGCTTCCTATGTGCTTTCA